CAGGGGGTCTGCTTCTCCCTTTTCCTCTGCTCTGCCTCCCCCTCCCACTCCTACTCTCTCACTCACTCACTGTCTCTTTCAAATACATTAACGAAATATTTAGGAAAAAAGGGGGAGCCCTAGACAACTGGAGAATCCTCGTGTTTCTGGCAGGCTGGGTTTCTCACTCCATAGGCACACCGGACATGCATGTGTGTGCGCGCGGCCCTGTGCATGTTGGGTGGATGATGGACAGCAGGGGTGAGGAGCCGGAAGCCTGGTGCTGGAGCCCCCAAGTGCAGGCTCAGAGGTAGCACTGGGGTAGACCCCGCCCCCCCCCCCATACCACTCTGGGGTCGTCCAGCTCCCTCCTCCGGTGGCCTGTGGGGAGGTCAGTGCTCTGGCCCTGTCCTGCTCTAGAAGATCCACTGCCCCCCACCCCCGCCCCCAGTCAGGGTCTGGTCAGAGGGACAGTTTGAAGCTGCCCTTCTTTCTCCTGGCCAATAGGCCCGGGCTTCCACCGAGGCCTAGGACCCTTAGTCTGGTCCTTCCCCATGGTCTGGCTTCCTCTCCCCCAACCACAGCCCCCCAGCTTGATGAGGTCAGGGAACACGTATTCCAGGAATGTGGGAGGCGGGGCAGCCAGCCTGGTTTGGACAACCATCGTGGTAAATATTTGCCTAGCTCCTGGAGCCAGTACCGTCTGCCCTGGGGAGGGCAAGTGGCCTATTCCTAGGGTCATGTAAGGGGATACTTTCCTGGGAGATCTCAGAGGGGCGAACCCACATCTTCCCAGTGAGCCTGGGACCTGGGTCTGAGGCCACCCCTCTGGGCAGGGCCAGAGACAGGGTCCCTGGCCCACAGGACCAGCCCCAGCTTGGCCCATCTGTAAAATGGGAATGAGAACAGCCCAGATAGGGAAGGTCAGTGCCCAAGGAGCTGGTTCAGGGCAGCTCAGCCTGTGGAGCAGCAGGGTAGACCCAGTTTGGGTGGGTCCCATGTGACCATGTTTTGGTCCCAGTTTGACCACTTACGACCTTAAGGAATTGCCCCCTCCTTCAAACTTCAATAGCCATTATCCCTGACCTGTTGTTTCATATGTGACACCTGGATCCACAAACCCATTTCATCTTAAGCCCTCACAGCCACCAGGGAACAATTAGCAGCGTGTGACCCGAACCCTGAACTCTGGCTCAACGACGCCTTCCATACGGCCCCCTGCCTACAGACCATGCTGGGCCATCTGAACCCCTCCCCCACTGTAGTCTGTGGGTAAGTCAGTGATCTGGCCAACGCCAGGCTCTACAAGGTCAGCCCGCCACCTCGCTGGTGGGCAAATAGCTTCAAGGGCCGCTGGTCCCTGTTCAGAAAGGAGATGAGGTCCCAGAGATCCCGAGTGATTTGCCCAAAGTCACCCAACATTAAAGGGCAAAGCAAGGATTCCAGTCCACTCTGCCTATCCTTGTCCTTGACCTCACCATGGAGGACAGGACCAGTGCTCCAGCCTGGAATGTGGGTTCTGAACCTTTGGCAGCTGTAGAGAACAACCAGTCCCTTAGCCACAGGCTTGGAGCCGGAGACACGAGCCAGCAGGGTGCCTCTCATCCTGGATGCCCTGTGGCCTGGGCCGCCTGTGCTCCAGTGAGCCCCAGTCAGCCCAGCATCTCTCTGGGCCAGCCTCAGCCCCAACCCCAGTTGGCTTCCTCCCACCAAGCCAACACCCAGGGCCAGGGCATTCCTGCAGGAGGAAGGGATGGGCAGGTGGGTGTGTTTGGGAGAATGTATCTGGGTCCTGGGATGCTCTCCACCCCATGGTGACCTTGGCCATGTTCCCAGACCCAGAGTTGCCGCTCTCCAGCTGTGAGACCTCTGGCAATCCTATCCTTCCTCAGAGCTCAGTTTCCTGCTCTACAGAATGGTCACCCTTCCTGCCCTGCCCTGCCCCTGGGAACTCCAGACCTGCAAGGAGAATGAAAGCGTGGTTGTCCTGAGGTCTGCACGCTCCTCTCTGCCCTTGTGGCCTTCACAGTCAGAGGCTTTCCCTCAGCCAGGCCCTCACCCCCTTCCCCCGGCTCTGCAGTGAGAGTCCTGCGCTAAGGATGCCAGGAGAGCCCTCTGGGTGATGGGGTTCCCAGCCCATGGGGACACTGGGTGCTCCGCCCCCGGCCCTGAGGTTCAATCCGTGCCCCACCCTGTGCATGGCCTCGAGAGCCTTTGCAGCAGAGAACATTTCCCCGTGGTGGATCTGTGTTGTTTCTGGTGGTGGTCAGGCTGGTCTCCTTCTCCCTTATTCTCCCCCTGGTCGCCAGGGGACCAAACCCACACAGACTATGAGCTTCACCTCAGGGCCCCCTGATGCAGGGCAGGGAGCTATCACCTCTGAGCTCACAGCTCTTCTGTGCCTCTGTGAGTGGTGCCCGGGTGCCCAGCCCTGTCTCTGAGCTAGTCCACCCTCTGGCCAAGCGTGGGTGGGCAGACCACCAGTCTGCGTGTGTCATGGCTTTGTTCTTGTTATTCATTAGTTCTTATTGCCTGTGTGACCTCGGGAAGTTACCCAACCTCTCTGGGCAGCATGTGTAAATGGGGGGTGCCAGTTTTTTTTCTGCCTCCTAGCACTTACCAAAAGTTAAAGAAATCGCAGGCAGAGCCCCAATATGGACTCAGTAGAAGCAGGCCTCCTGGTCCTGTCTCTTTCCCAGGGTCACAGGGAAAAACCAGGGGGCAGTCAGTTCCCAGCCAAGACTGGAGTTCGTATCCTGATGCAGCCCTGAACCTATCTGTGCACTTGCTGTGTGACCTTGGACACATCTCTTCCCCTTTCTGGTCTGTGTGCCCCTTTGCCCAAGCCCAGCAGAAAGCCTGGGGGTCTGAGGGCACAGGTGTGTGTGCTGTGAGCCGGAGCGCCCCTGAGGGGCAGGATGGGCAGGTGTCATTCCTTGGGGCCTGGACATGGCTCACCGTGTGAACAGGGCTTTCCGGCTCTGGCTTCGATCTCAGCTGCCAATATCATGATTTTCTCTCTGTCAGCGGGTCTGTGGGTCAGCTCACCTTTGGGAAAGGCCTGATCTATGGGTGGTGGTGATACCAGTTTTTCCCCAGCCTCTGACTTGCCACGTGACCCTGTAACAAGGGCGCTCATGGCCCCTCTTCAGGCTCAGACCCCTCATCTGAGAAATGGGAGAGTTGGAGTCTGTGAGCACCAGGGCTGTTTGTGTTCCTATATCAAGCAGTTAGGGGGCTGCCAGAGCCAAGGGGTCAAGGTGCAGAGACATTGTCTTTCCCTCCTGGGGCAGGGATGCCAGCCCTGGCTTGAGGAGCTTGGGGCCTAGGGGCCTGCTGCTCTGTGGAGCCTGGCACCAGCCCCTGCAAGGTCCATGGTGCCCCAGCTGACCTACCCGGAATGCTGCCTGCGTACCCAGCACTCACGTGTGCTACCTTCTACCATCTGTACACGGCTTTGAGGGAGGTCCCCTCATGACCCCTGTGTTCCCACCCACAGATGAGAAAACTGAGGCATAGAGAGGTTTAAGAAGTTCAACCAAAGCCACACACTTGTTAAGAGGGGTGAAACCCAGACTTGAAGCAGCCAGTGCATGCACTTGTCCTAGCTGTGCCTGCCTCCCGGCTGCCCAGGGCAGTGAGCCGGCTCCAACGCCTCCCGTGGCCCCCTGGCATGTGTGGGAGCCCACGATTCATGTGGCCCGCACACTCCTCCCTCTTCTGTTAGCCACGGGGTTCACCCCAAGAGGCTCTTGGCCCACAGTTAGGTTTCCCATTTCTCAGAAGATGCACAGCCCCAGTGAATTATGGCAATTGTCTGGAGCTACCCAGTGAGGCACCTTTGTCGCCGGCTCTCAAATGTGAGGCTCTGTGGCCCGCGCTGTGTAGCCAGGACTCCAGAGAAACCCACCTGCTGAGCCTCTGGGTCCGGTCCTCCAGGATCCCTCTGGGGAGTGGAGCAGAGCGAGGAGGGCTGGTAGCCCTTGAGGAGCTGGGCGAGTGAGATCCCCTCCCCCACCCCATGAGGGTAATTGTGCCCCAGCAACAGTGGGGAGCAGGAGACCAGAGTGCCCATGCCTTCTTCCTCCCTCTGTCATCTCTACATCCCCAGTGCACCAGCAGTTCCTGCCACTCTGTCTGCTGTCCCCTCTGCTACAAGCACCACCGTCTCTGGCCTGGACCCCTGAAACAGACTCTACACCGTTCTCCCTGCCTCCTCCCGAGCCCTTCTCCCCCAGCAGCCACAGAATCTTCTCCAACCAGAGCTAAGGTCATGTCCCTCAGCTGTTCAGACCCTCCTGGAGCTCCTGTCCACCTCTCAGTGACTGGCCATCCACTTGACCCCCACTCACCCCACCTCTCCTTCCCTCACCACCCCTACCACCACCCACTCTCAACTCCTCCCCCCGAGCCAGGCTTTCTTCCCTGTCTTCAAGTCTTCATATGTACTGTTCCCTCTGCCTGGAATGCTGTTCCATGCATCTTGGCCTGCCTCTCTCAGGCTCACCCTTCAGCTTTACTTCCTCAGAGAGGCTCCCCTGAAACTTGAGTCTATGTTGTGTCGCCCCTGTAACTCGTTTTTTCTGGCAGATGCCTCTTCTAGTTATGTAGTGTCTAATTATCAGAATTCCCGCAAGGACAGGACCCAGCACAGCTCGGGGGTTTGTTCAGGGTTTCTTGAGCAAATGAGTGAATGCCGAGTGCTTCCGTTACCCCAAGTCCTCAGATGCTCCTAGAAACGCTGAGAGAAATTGTGATTCCCCCATTTGACAGGTGAGGCCAGGAGCATACACATGCAGCTGGTAACTAGCCAATGTGGGGTGTCAGGGATGCTGCATCGGGGCACCCCATTATTGGGCCCCTCTTCCTCTAAGTCCCTCTGACTCTCCACCTGCCAAATGGGGATGACTGGGTTTTGCGGGCAGTAAACTTTCCAGAAGGTGGGTGGGTGGGCGGTGGCGGCCCAATCAGTTCCAGGCCCTGCAGCGAGGGTCCCCTCTGACCACCCCTTCCCGTTGCAGCAGGATGGCACGGGAGTGAGGCGGAGGGGCTGAGCACCGTTGACCAGACGTGGGACACTGGTGGTTCGCGGGTCACTGAGGTAGGTGTGCAGCTGGGCTGGTGGGGGCAGGTTTGGCCTGGATGCTCGGAGAAGGGGTAGGCATGTCTTGAGTGGGGAGTAGTACCGGCCCCAGCAACCGTGCCTTTGACTGGGCCTTGGTCCTCATGGGCTGCATGGGGTGCGGCCACCCCGACTGAGACCTTGTCAGCCCCCCAAAGGACCTCCAGGGCCCTCTAAGTCCTGGCCTTTCTCTAGAGTGGCTGTCAAGGCAGGAGGCAGGTGAATGCAGCCAGGGAGAAGGGCAGGTTTGGTGTCCCCAGCCTTGCCCCACGGCTTTGTCTGTACCACTCAGCCCCCTGGCCTGTGGGGCACATCTGCTGAGCAACATGGTGGCCACACAGGAAGAGGCTGTTTGCTGAAATGGGTGTTGTGGCTGCCCGCACCCTTCTGTCCCACAAACACACAGACCTCTGGGCTCTGGAGTCAGAGTGACTGTGTTCAAATCCTGGCTCTGCCACTTGTCCACCATGATCTTGTGCGGTTTCTCTGTGTTCGATTTCCCTGTCTGCAAAAGAGGGAGGGGCTCCCAGCACCTGCCCCGACAAGTGCACTGGCACACCTGGTACCAATGTGCATGCAGGAGGCTAGGTCAGCATTCTTGTTGGGGATGCAGGGACCCTTTCTCCTTTCTGGACACCATGGTTCCCACCAGCACCCCCTCCCCGAGCACCCATCAACCCCAGAAGGGACGCAAACTGGGCATCCACCATACTGAGGATTTGGGGGCTCCTGGGAGCTCCTGAGAGTTGGAGCCACAAGGTCCTGGGGCTGAGCCTCCCGGCCCTGTGGAGGCCGGGACACCAGCCTGTCTCAACACAGAGTGGCATTTCAGGGTTGATCACTCTTGGTCCTGTGTCAGAGGGTGACCTGTATAATCCCTCTTTACTCTGCGGCTCCCAATCCAGAGATGAGAGGCCTTCACAAAAGTGCTGACTTGGGCCAGGGCCCTTTGTCCCAAGGCCCTGGGGCTCAGCAGGGGGTGGCAGAGTCTTTGCTCTAGCATGAGGCCTTGCCCATTTGTCTCCCTACGGCCCTCAGCTCCTCTCCTGAGACCCCTTGTGCTCCCAGGTGCCCAGACACAGGACCAGGGGCTCTGGAACCAGGGAGCAGGGTGGTGGGAGAGCCCAGCTCCCTGCTATCAGCTCATGACCTTGGGCTAGTCCTTTCACTTCTGTGAGAGTGAGAGCCAGTGTTCTCATCTGAAAATGAGGATAATTATACCCACACTGCTGAGAAGGCCATTATGGGGATGCTCAGAATCCTGAAATATTTTTAAATGTTAGAGCTTAGTGAGAGGCTACTGTGTACCAGGCACTATGCTCCTTAAATACATACTTCTCCCCGCAGTAATCCCGTGAGGAGGTGTTTAGTGCCTCATTCTCCAGAGGCTCAAAGTGGTTAAGAAACCCATAGAGCTGTAAGTAGTGGCGTGGGGATTTGAACCGTGGAATTAAGTGGTCCACAATGCCGTAGAGACTAGGGCTCTGAGCCACTGGCAGGCCCGAGGTGGGTGCTCGGGAAACCACCTCCCTTTCTGCCTGGCGCCTTTGCCCGGCTCTCTAAGCCTGCAGCCCTCAGGAGCCCGAGGGGGTCCCCCGGAGGCTGGTGGGCACCCCTCCCCAGAGGGCCTGCCAGCAACTCGATAAGCCTAGGGGAACCCACTGCTAATTGTGGGGTAACCTCTGAAATTCTCCTTCATGGTGGGTTCTTTTTTCGGATGTTTTTCAAGGTAATTCATTCCCTTTCCAGAAATTGCCAGTGGCAGAGCATTAGGGAGCTGGTAATTAATCATAGGAGAGGCTTGGAGTTTATTCTTTAAAAGGGGGAAAAAAAAAAAAAAAAGGAAGACTAGAAAGCCTTGATGGAAAAAGAAAAGAAAACCACTCCAAGGCAAGGGTGGTAATCAATACCTCGGTGTCCTAGAAACGGCTGGGGGTGGGGGGGGGTGTAGCGAGACATATTGCTCCTCCCTTTCTTCCTGGGGTTGACAGATGGTCAGCGCCTGCCGCAGCATGGGTGAGGCTCTGCCTCTAAGCTCCCCGGGCCTTTTGGAGCAAGGCACTGCCTCTCCCTGGACTCAGCTTTGCCACCTGTAAAATGGGTGAAGGGCAGGTGTCAGACTAGAAAAGAAAATTAAATGATTTGTTCCCCACGTCATCCTGGTGCCCGACGCAGGGTCATTGTCCAATTGATATTTTATTAATTGAGTGAGTGAGTGAGTGAGTAAGGGAACAAATGAATGATTTTCTTGGTCTTCATTAGCTATCACCAGTCAAGGAGATGGTACTTGCTCTAGAACATTGTTTCTCTAGTTGTGTTCTAATTTGGAGTGATAGCTGGAGTGAGGGGCCAGCTCTGTTGCATGGCAAACTCCTGATGAAAGGACACTCCTGCCCAGCAGACTGTAGTTGGCCTAGCTCAGGCCCTCAGGGGCAACTGCACTGGCATCCTCGGGTTCGACTTTCCAAGAGTCTGAGCTGTCTGGAGATTTTTATTTTTAAGTTGTCTTCTGGGTGGGTAGTGAGTTCCTCATCACCAAAAGTATGCAAGCTGGGGCTGCATGGGTTACTCAGGGGGCAGACTAGGTCGGGATGGGGCGGCAGGCACTCAGAGCATTCCTGAGTTGGAGAGAGAACATGAGGCTCTCTAGGATGGACACGGGGGAGGCTGGACCAGTAGGCAGGGGAGCCCCTTCCCAGAGGTGGGCTAGAGGAGGCTACTGAGAAGGGGGTGGCCATGTAGGACACCTATGCTTTGGTGCCTGTTCCCTTGGGGGGAAAGAGGTGTGTGTAGGTGTGTGGATGTGTCTCTCTCTCTCTTTAGGGATGTCTCTCTCTGTGCATGTGCCTTTCTCCTGCCCAGTTTCCCTGTCTTCTCACGTGGGCAGCCCCTGCTCCGCCTCCCTAGCTTACCCACTTTCTCCCTGTCCGGTCACATCCACAGCTCCCCCTGGAGCTCCCTCTGGAATTTCTTTCTGAGCCCCAGGACCTTCTCACGTCTGCTCTCCTTATCTTGGGAGGCACCCCTAGCCAGGCATCCCCGCAGACATCTGCTCCGTATCATCGCTTCTGTGGTCACCAGGATTGAGTAGAACGGAGGATTCCTGGGCTTCCAACCTGCCGCCCTTGGCCTTGTTCTTCCAGCCCTGGCGGTGCCTGGCTCCCTCCCACACTGCCCTTTGAAAGGGTCTGAGGCAGTGCCCCCCACTTCCAGCCTTGGGGGCGGCACACCATATGCGGCCTGTCCCCAGGGACCCACCATGCCACCAGCTCAGGAGGGACCGTGAACTCCCAGCTGCCCTGTGCTGTCCTGGGCTCATGGGCCTCTGGCCGCAGGCGAAAGTAGGAAAGCAAGAGGGGGCCTGTGTCCACTAACAGGGCACTTGGAACCTGGCATTTCCCTCCAGCGCTAATAAAACTGCGGCTATAATTAGAAGTGAGGTGTCCAGAAGCCGGCTGCCAGGCAGGAACCACTGTATGCTCAGGAAGAAATCAGCTGTCCTCTCCGGAGGGGAGAAGGAAGCAGAGGGTGGACTCCCAGAGATCCACAGGCCTGGAGGGTCTCAGAGGCCGGCAAAGTAGGCCAGGCGCCTCCATTCCACTGGACGTCCTCTGGGAGCTCCCTCGGTCCCCATCCCTGGCCAGTCCGTCTTCCTGGGACTCCTGCTGTGTGCCCAGCAGACTCTTCCCGGCGTTCGAAGCCACTGCCATCCGCCCCTGCCTCCTTGCATGGCCGCGTCTCACCCTCGCTGTCTGCTGGCTTCCCGTGCCACCCGCCCTCCCATCTTCGCCACATGTCCCCACAGCTGAGCCTTCACGCCTGCGCCTCCTTCTGCCTTGAAAGCTCTCCATCCTTGTTGCTGCATGGCCCAAACCTTCTGGAGCCTTCCTCAAGCCCTGCTTCCTCCGCAAGGTCAGATGTGGACTCCTGCCCACCCTGGACCCTACAGTCTCTGCTTCCCAGAGTCCCTGGGCATTTCCTCCCTGAACTCTTCCAAACTGGAAACCCTCTCTATGCCCTCAGGGCCTTCAGAGTGCTGGCCAGGCGGCCCACCAGCCCATCCTTTCCTTTGTCTTCATTGTATACTGGAAGGATGACATGCGGGCTCTTTTACACTCTGTTTTCCTCTGAAACCTGGCGTGTGTTTAACACACACCCCACATGCAGAGGCATGTTCAGTTGCCACGTGTGGTTTCCTCATTTGCCGGGGAGGGGGGTGGAAACTGAGGCTGGCGAAGGAAATCTTGCAGATGACAGTCGGCACAGTGAGCACCTTCCCTGTAGGCCAGGCTGCCACTATCCTGCCATTCAAAGTAAGACAGGGGCATGCCACACTGGTCATAAAGGTAAACTGAGGCAGGCAGAAGTGTGGCACGTCCCTAGGCAGCCAGACCTTAAGAGGAATGGAGGGAACGAGTTGTGAAGTGTTCCATTCCCCTCACAGTGCTCCAGGGCTCCTGGTGCCTCCCTACCTAATCGCCAAACAGCCCTAGACCAAGGGGACAGTCACGGGCTGTGCCACATGGGAGTCAGCAGGGCTGCTCATCACTCCAGACACAGCGTGCAGCCTAGGACACTGGGGTTCTGGGGGTTAGCGCACCCAGCTCCTCCCTGGAAGAGAGGATGCCCCTGTCCACCCCTCCCTCCCACAACACCCAGGACGTAGTCTGAATGGCAGAGGGGCCCAAAATGTGTGTTTCTAGGAAACCAGAGGATTCCCCTAGGGTGGGAAGATGCCTGGGGCAGGGAGAGGGAGGAGGGGATTGTCTCCCCAGAACCTAGCCCTGCCCCTGCCAGCCTGGAGTGACCTCTCAGGAGCCCACAAGCAGCAGAATAGCCCCTCGGAAGCCCGCTCTCCCCACGGCCTCTCTGGCTGCCAGCTGCATTTTGTGGCCTGCTCCTCTGACAGTCGGACTCTCGTTTGCCTCTGGTCAGGCATCATGGCAGGAAGTCCGGGAAGGTTCAGATGCTGGGCTTGT